CGCTTCAATTTAGAAAAGATTACAGTCGAAGAATTATTGCACCAGCTTTCTTTTTTTGTTACAAATGATAAATAAATCAAAACTTGACTCGTTATAATAGAAAATAGACTATTTACATTACCCATCGACTGTTTATTTTTTTTATACCGAAAGGACATTTTTTCATAGGACCAAATGACGAAGGCCTATTTCTAAAGGACATTTTTTAAAAGGCCATTTGCAACGCAAGACATTTCCTAAAAGGGTCAAAACTTGAGGACATTTTCTAACGGACATTCTTGACGGATACCATGGTCTTTATCGATAAATGCTGGAAAGTTATCATGGCACCATTGCTGTGTTAAATGATGAGTATGGGGTTTAGCACCGTCTTGTTGGTAAGTCCAGTCATTTCCAAAGACATAATTTCCTTATTTAAGTGCGACAGGAAGCACCTCTTTAATGTATCGATCGTGGTTAACTGTACTTTGTTCAAATATCACCAATAGAGATACACCTTTTGAACAAACACCAAGCTAAACCATGACTTTCACAGGAAATTTTTTTTCTGATGAATACCACCTTTCTGATTAGCTTCTTCACGATTTGCGGCCCAAATACGATCGTTTTGGGTATTGTAAACACCATCAATGTCGAACATCTTTTCGTCAGAAAACAGAATTTTCAATGTTTCCTGCTTTCGAAAGTTTGTTCGTATCCAGTTAGCAAACTTTTTGCTTTTTTCTTTATGTTCCTCGGTTAGGGATGCAACGGTTACGGTTAACCACCGCTTGACCGTATACAGTTAACCGGGCCAAAACAATAACTGGTTTAAACGAAAAACGGTTAAACGAAAACCGTTTTTACCGAAAAGCGGTTAAACGGGAACCGATTTGACCGAAAAGCGGTTAAACGGGAACCGATTTGACCGAAAAGCGGTTAAACGAAAACCGTTTTTACCGAAAAACGGTTAAACGAAAACCGTTTTTACCGAAAAGCGGTTAAACAAAAACCGTTTCGGAAGAAAGAGCAGTTAAACGGAAACCGATTTAACCGAAAAGCGATTGAACGAAAACCGATGCCAGTGAAAAATCGATTAAACGAAAACCGATGCCAGTGAAAAATCGATTAAACGAAAACCGATGCCAGTGAAAAATCGATTAAACGAAAACCGATGCCAGTGAAAAATCGATTAAACGAAAACCGATGCCAGTGAAAAATCGATTAAACGAAAACCGATGCCAGTGAAAAATCGATTAAACGAAAACCGATGCCAGTGAAAAATCGANCGAAAACCGATGCCAGTGAAAAATCGATTAAACGAAAACCGATGCCAGTGAAAAATCGATTAAACGAAAACCGATGCCAGTGAAAAATCGATTAAACGAAAACCGATGCCAGTGAAAAATCAATTAAACGAAAACCGATGCCAGTGAAAAATCGATTAAACGAAAACCGTAGGGGTGTAAACGATAACCGGTGTCAATCGGTAACCGTTGTAGAATTCATTGATGAGAGATGTGTAACAATAGTGTAATAGAATGTCACGATTATCAACGTCTATGTGAGTGATAGTTCTTATTTTAATCAGCACTAAATTATAGCTATTATTCATAATAATGTTCTATATTAGTTTCCAAGAGAAAAATTGTTTTGGAGGCAATTCTGAGGAATCAGTACATATCATTTCACTTGTGTAAAAGGATAATTGGTACAGGTAGTATGTGAGTAGTTTTATAATGTATGAGATATAGGAAAAATAGGATATTGATCAAATCAGTCTTCGTTTTGCAAGTACTGGTTGAGCTGTTCACATAGGACGTATCACTATCGATGTATATATGTGAAAGTTATAAGAAGACAATGTATTAAGCTCGTGAAGAACTACAAGAACATATATACTTGTTCACTTTTGCTTTCGGCTTCAACAGTACTCTATTGAATATCTGCTTTTAAAAAAAACGATATAACCAATCTTTGTAAAAGTATTTTAACAACGTAAATGTTTTAGCCCTAATGTTTATTCATAACTATAAAATCAAGAATAAATAAAAGTATCATTTAGAAAAAAATCATAAGGATCAAGAGAAAATCACGAAGGTAGTCGACAATAGATTTTCAATAAGTTTTAGTAGCTTATCACAGAAATTAAAAAGAATACATTAGAATAAAGAAACATGAATAGGTTTAGGAAGATAAAAGGAGACATTCCATACAAAGAACAAGCGCAAACAGTAAGAGGGTTCATGAAAAATATTATCAGGAATTTTGTAACGTAAAACAATTTGACATTAGGGCATAAAGAGCAAAAACTGTTGTACAAATCTCCACGAAAACCTTCACTGTTTATCTAATTTGTCCTTTAAGAAAACTGAAAAAGCTAAATTGTCGATAGAAAGTCGAGCACGCTCTTTACGAGCAACATATGCTGAGCATGAAAAGGCACTTTCACTCGCCACACTTGTACCAGATGTAACGAGGTGTACCTTTGCTAAATTCCATAACAGTGGCAATTGAATATAATGAGTTTTCCAAAACTCAAGTACGCTTTTAGTCGAAGGCTTGTGTTTTGAATTAAATTCTTGAACAGCTATTCGAAACCACTTCAATTCATCATTAAGGGAAATACGTGTGCTCTTTTCCTTTATAGTTTCTTGTGTAAAATCCTGTTCACCACAAGCAGCAAGGAATTCATCATAAGCGGATTGTTTCGATGATGTATCTTGTAAAACGAGATTTTGCCGTTGAGAAGATGTTGGAACAATAGCCATTGATGATGCCGTTTGTATTGAATCTGATCCCATCCGCTTTCGAGGATAAATATTGTTTAGTATTAAAGTTTTGATATACTTTTCACATTGATTTTTTTCAGCATCATTGAAACTCAGATGTGCACATGGATCGAAATATGCATGTTTCTAAAAAGCAGAGTATCATAATATTATAAAGCATCGTATTGTTTTCAAAACGAATTTCACCACATAAAAGAAATCAAGATCTCCTCTATAATAAGTTTGTAGTTTTAAATGAGTAAACGACATTGATACACAAAGATAGCTAGTTTTAATTCTTTCGATATTTATATGAAAAGTATCACTGCAGACTGAACGGTTTCAATTAGCGACAGAGCAGGTCTCTATTATTAATTAATGATCTACCTGAAAATGATCGAATTGTTCCAGATCATAACAGAAATATTTGTAAATTTTTTCCAATAATAATTGTTTTAATTCTTTGATATGTTCATTTTCACCTTCACTTTCGCAAAACGATTTAAGCTTGTGAATTGCATGGTAAGCAAGTCCAATAGATGGATAGTTCTTGCCAGACATCATAACAGTACTACATGCAAACGGCTTCAAAACACGACTGAGTGATGTTAAGAAGTCCCAATCTTCAATAGATAACTCGATCTCACTTAATTTGTCGAATTGTTCTTTGCGTAATTTCAAAGAGCGTTTATCGAGAAATAATTTAATCAATGAATTTTTATTTTTAATAACAGAATCAATTAATTTAGAGGTGGAATTCCATCTGGACTTGCAATCGTTTGATATTATTGTATTTAATGATAATGATCGAAGAAAATTTGATATAATAGATGATTTCCTTGACATTGTGGCTATTGAACGACATTTCTTTAATATTTTCATATTTAATTTAACTACATCAATAGTAATTACATTCGTGTCAATGCTTGTTGACCAGTTGTCGTGAATTAGATCAAGATCTTGTGTTTCAATATTGGGGTCATCGTCAACTGTCGGATCAGATTCTTCTGCATTTTCGATATCTTTGTACTCATCAGCAGCACCAAACATAACTACATCGTCTTCAATAATTGCATGATCGTCGATTTCATTCGATAAAGAAGCATCTAAAATAGGTTGAAACAAGCTTACATCAATGCGATATCCATTTCATGGTATACTTTTTCTCACTATCTAATTCTTCGTGGCCTTATTTCATCGTAGTAAGGTACAAAAAGTGCGAAGAGATTTACGATGTGAAACGTTTCAACTTTCCAAAAGACAAAAACAATCTGACAAAATGTCTTCTCTGTGATCATGGATAAGTTTATGAATCCATATAAGTGAAGGTTTCTATTTAAGGTAAAGTTTACCGGTTTCAGGTGAATTGAACATATTGGTTTCCATCAGTTCTTCGTGTTGCTTAGAAACAGCATCATCAGTTGCTGGTGGAACTTCTCTCGATAAATCAACTGTTTGCTTATCACCCACCTTCTTTTCTTTGTTCCAGAAGCCTAAAGCATTGATCACGACTAAATGTAACCTATGTGCGCAACACCAAATACGTTTAATAGATACGTCAAGTTTTCTACAAGCAGCCACCAAATTTTCACCACCATCACAGGTTATGCTAATAATTTTTTCATATATTTCCAAGTCGATAAGAATTTGTTTAATACAACCAGCTATATTAACGGCTGTGTGTCGTTCATTAAAAGATGAAAAATGGATAATTTTGGAGAAAAAATCAGCTGTATCATTATACCAGTGACCAGTAATACAAAGACAGGAAATTCCCGAACGTGTGGACCAAAAATCCAATGTTAAACCAATATGATCGATTAATTTGAGTTCTTCTTTTAAAATTTGATATTGCTGATTGTACATACGTCGTAGTTGAATCGAAACTTGATTACGATGAGGTGGAACAAATCCTAGAAAATAAACTGTATGTTATATGCGACTAAAAAAATCTCAATATAAGTTTCAACAGCACTGTATTATCATCATCGATTTCTTAGGTAGAAGGTTATAAATGAGTTATATCGGGAAAATGACTAACACTTTAGACACATGTGAAAATTAATTCAGAATCAATATCATTCATAAACTTTGCAACTGACATACTGATTATAGGTCGAAAACGAAGCGTACCTGGACATAATTTGTCGAAGATCAATGAAATTCCTCTTTTTCGTAAATCATTAAATGGTCGATGATCCATGACTATGGCATTGTAACATAGATTATGTAACTCCTGCTTGAAACGATTGGAAATAGCTGATTTTTCCACAGAAACTGGTTCTGAATTAATAATCAATTCCACTTTATTGTGTCGGCGAATCAAATGGTACCGGATTGTGGAGGTTGAATGAGATGCAGTAGTACATGTGAAACCACATATTCCACATGTGGCTGTTTTTCCATCTTCACTCTTCGTTGCATACAGCCAAACGTTCGACACATTCCTACGACTATTTGATTTGTTGCTATGTGATTGTTGATTTAAAATGTGATCAGGTGGTGCTGATATCATATTATCATTTGTTGTTGGTGGCAATGTAATATTTTGGTCATTTGACGAATTTGACATGATAATATTCGTTGGTATTGATGAAGTAGTAAACAAATTTGATAATGATGACGAAATATTACCTGCTGATGGTGGTGAAGTATCCACATTGTTGTTTGATAACGATGGAGATAAAATATTGCTACTCGATGCTAATTCAGGTTGCAAACCATTCGATGATGGTAATATTCTGTTACTGCTTAATGGAAGCACAAAAATAGGATTGCTTGGTGATGCCAATTCGATATTATTATTGCAAGGTGTTAATGCTTGATTGTTGTCGCTGACTGTTGACCGAGATTGGCGGCTAGTATATGCTGATGTACGCATTTTCTTTGACAAAGTTGTTGATGGATCAACGTCTTCGTTATCATCGATATCTGAACGTGCTTTATTCGCCTTTCGTTTGTTGTTCACCTTCATGTTTGTGATAATCAATCTAAACAGAAAAAAATCTTACATAAACCTCTGCTATTGCAAAATCTTTCATGGTTGTTATATTAAGACTTTTGTAATTCAAAAATATTATACAATAAGAATGAACAAGATTTGACAAAAAGAATCGAAATTTATGTAAGTTCTTTTTGAAAAGGATCAATTTATCCTCATTATACATTTACACTTGCACTTTTGAAAGCAATTACACTTCGTCGAAAAGTCGTTTTTAATAGAGATTAGATTATTGATGCATTACAACAACAGCAACATTAGCCATAGTAATTTATGCTTTTTAGAGAGGCAAATAAGAAATTCAATTCAAATGATGATTTTGGAACCTAGAAAAAGAAAACCAATATTCGATTCAGTGTATTGTTACAAAATAAAAGCCAACAAAAGTTTAACAAACATAGATGTAAATAAGAATCGAAGTCTTTTTCTTATTAGACAAGTATAGTTATAGTTAATACGAGAAACAAATATGAATTGAGCGACACGTTCAAACAAATACGAAGTAAATAGAGGAATATCATTTGTTTTGAACCAATGTTTAAACGCACAAAGACATTCTTGGTTCTTTGTTCTAAAACCTATATAACTGTTTTATCACCTCCTTTTGATAACGAAAGTGCATAGGAGTCAATTATAATGGACATCCAGATGTCTTTTCAGTTGTTTTCTCTGATTATTTGTGTTCGTATCGAAGATTTTCCAAATTGAACTTTTACGAAAAAGAAGAAAGCACAAAAAGAATTATCTGCTCGTCCTTTTTGAATAACCCCATAGATACTATGATTTTCATAAAATGAAACAATATATGTTCTCTTCATAAAATGAATGAAAGTGAGTTTATGCGCTTTTTATTTGTTTAAAATTGAACCAATACACTATGTATCTTCCTATAATAACTATATACAAGCGACATCGTTGTGTTAATCTGTCTACGTTTAGTTTTTACCAACACTAGTAAGTGAATCCAGATATAATATAGTGATTCAATTAAAACTCAAAGTAAGTTTAAAACGAATGCAGACGAAGAACTGCTCTACCTCTATGTGTTTTAAGTTATGTAAAAAAATGAATACCTGTAGGCAATTAATATATGATGTCTTTTCCTGTCTATCCGCAAGCTGAAATCTGTTGATAAGCAGTTGTATGAAAAATCCGTAATTGTTTCGATTTTTAATGAGATCCACTTATATTTATGAAGTAAAGTATGCTACTATTTTTTCCTAGTACTGACCAATTTTAGAAAGTCTCGTTTTATAACCACGATCGTTAAATGAATGAAAGAAGAAAACGGTTATCGATTTTACAGCGGTTACCGCTCCACCGTTTTTTCTATTAAACCGGTTTCCGTTTAACCGCTCTTTCTTCCAAAACGGTTTTTCTTTAACCGCTTTTCGATAAAAACGGTTTTCGTTTAACCGTTTTTCGGTTAAATCGGTTTCCGTTTAACCGTTTTTCGGTAAAAACGGTTTCCGTTTAACCGTTTTTCGGTCAAATCGGTTTCCGTTTAACCGTTTTTCGGTTGAAACGGTTTCCGTTTAACCGCTTTTCGATAAAAACGGTTTTCGTTTAACCGTTTTTCGGTTAAATCGGTTTCCGTTTAACCGTTTTTCGGTAAAAACGGTTTCCGTTTAACCGTTTTTCGGTCAAATCGGTTT